CTCAACATCAATGCATTTCAGTTCTAAGGTAACTATATGATTGACTTGAGTAGGTTAGCCATATTTTATTAATACAAACCTTTCAAGAATAATCCAGCAGTTTTTTGTTTGTTTGTTTGTTTTTACTTATTAAAGTGAGATGTTTATGCTGGTTGAAAACCAGTAATGTAGAAAGCTCCTAAATAATTTTGAGTTGCAAAAGTAAGCACTGGTCTTTTATTGTATTTATTTATTTAATTATGTATGTATGTATGTATCTATGTATGTATGCATTTTAAAGATTGGCAAATCAATTTTAATTCCTTTTATCATTTTGGACTTTTAACTTTAGAAATATCCCTTTGAAAAATATTTTATTGTGCCTCCCATAAAACTCTTTGCTTTTAGTTGGTACACATAGATAGGTGACACCTCTATTACCAACCCTTTCTTATTACTGTTCCCAAGTAAGACTACTCTAATTCAAACAATAAACTGACTCTTATTAAAACCTCACACACACAGAAGTGTTGAGATCTCTTATGTGTAATAATTTGGTTGCTCTTCCTGTGTAGCCTGTGGAAAGGAATGGTATAAAAAATAGCTTGGAGTGAGGAAACTCTGCCATCCTTTTGAGGTGAAAATAGCACTGCTATACCCACTGTAACAATATTGCTTTTGTAGAATTTTAATGGCAAATGTATTGGACAAAACATAGGTTTTGGCAACATAATAGACCCAATCAATGGTGGAATAGTATCTACATTACGGAGATACTGTAAGGATTAAAAGAGATAATATAGGTAAGGTACTCAATACAGTACATGGCATATTAGAGTTCACTCAATGTTGTTTGTTTCTTATTCCTTTCTTAAAATCACTCCAATCTGAAATTTATTTTTATGAGTCACTTATTTACTATAATTTATTTAGCCTCTAGTAAGGGTAGGGATGCTAAATCCTTATTTCTCCCCTTTAAAAGTTAATGAAAATGCTGCTAATTTTAGTTTACATTTAAATTGCCCCTTTTCTAGAGGGAGATATAGTGGGACAATACTGTGATTAAAATTCTCCAGTTTTTAACATTACCAAAGACAATGTAAGATAATATTTACTAAAATACATAGCCACTGATGTTCAGCACATCTTCACATGTATTCATTATTGATGGGAATCCAACATATAATTTTTAGATATTATTTTCTTGAGCTGCAGCTCTTAGATATAAGATTGGTTTATATTTTAAAATGAGTATTATTATCTGAAACCCTCCAAGTGAGAGTAATTCCATCAAGTTTCTCCAATCTCACTCTACAACTGTAAAGTATTTTAAAATCATTGTATGTAGAGTTTCTATTTCTTCTTTAAATATTTTTGAAGAAAAGTGTAGATACAACATGCTAATCATGCATTTGTAAAATCTTCCTTTCATCCACCTACAATATTACATTTTATCCCTGTATAGACAGTGACACTTGATGCTTTCTTACTTTTTCTAATTTATGACATTCTCTGATGCTTTTAATTCTTTCTCCTTTCTCTTGTATGTGAGATTTTTAGTTGTCAAGGTCTCTTGTAACCCAATTTATTATCTACTTATTGGTCATGTACTTGGTATCTGGACCTCTAAAATGGTGATAAAATGGCACCAGATGTTAGATTGGTGGAGTCAAATCAGAACTTGGTTCAGCAACCTTGTTACTTGAGTTCTGGCTAAGAAAGAATTTAGAGGAAGACTCAAACTATAAGAAAAAGTTTATTTAGAAAGTCACAGAGTTAGAAGAAATGGGCTCAGGAAACAAGTAACAGTGGCAAAAGAAGGACCCTTGAAGCTTGGGCAAAGAAGAGAGGCAAGGAAAACGCACATAGGGGAAGAAGGTGGGAGCGAAAAGTGGGGAATAGTATGTACATACTCCATAAAGAAAGCCACACTGGGTCCTCCATCTTGAGGGTATTTATCTGGAGGTCTCAGGGAAATATTTTATAGACTACTCGTCAGCATTCCAGGTGTGTCTTTTCAGGGTCATAGTCTCTACTGATTGGGTTTTATCAGGGTTGGGGGGGGTCATTAGTCAATGCAGCTAGTTAAAATGTCAGTCATGGCATCACTTGTCTGGTCCTTGTTCTGCTCATGTCTGCCTAACGGTCTACCACAGACCCATATTAGATGACAAAGAAAGGGGTTGTCATTAAAGGACCAACACACACACTACAAACACAGAGAACAAAAGAGATAGCTTAGATACACTGCTATTGGCTGAATCCTAGGACATTTTGTCTATAAGTATGTACATAAGTATATAAAAGAGAATAAGAAGATAACAATATAGCTCAGTTTCTAACTTATAGTATGTGCTCAATAAATTTTAATTGTTATTTTCATCTGATATAATTAGTTATGTATTCTCTACTCACTACAGTCGTCCCTCATCACTTTGTACTTTGACTTTTGTGGCTTTACTCTATCATTGTTTTTTCAAATAGATTCATTAAAAAGTTGATTGAGTCAATTTTGTTAATCAGTTTGTTTACTTTATTATATTTTACAAATAAGTGAGATCATGTGATATTTGTCTTTCTCTGTTTGGCTTGTTTACCTTAGCACATACTCCCCACATCCTTTCATGCCATCTCAAAGGATAAGAGAGCTTTCTTTCTTACAGCTGCATAGTATTCAATTGTGTACATGTACCACAGCTTTTTTTTCACTCATCTACGGATGGGCACTTGGGTTGTTTCCATATCTCAGCTATTGTAAATAGTGCTTCTATGAACATAGGGGTACATATATTCTTTCTGATTGGTGTTTCAGGTTTCTTACGGTATATTCCTAGAAGTGGGATCACTGGATGAAGAGACATAGAGATGGGGTACAGACTGACAACCCTGAGAGGAGGGGGGTTGAGGAGGAGAGAGAAACCACAAAATTTATATGCATGTATGCATGACCAATGGACATAGACAACAAAGCAGAGGATGGGGTGGGGAGAGATGAAGAGGAGAGTGTCAATGAGGGGAAAAGGAGAAACATCTGCAACAAAAACAAATTAATAAAAAAAAAGAAGTTGATTGAGACAGTGAAAATGATACAGCATGCACTCAGTTGTCTGAGTCAATTATACACCCCTGTATTACAATTAAAATTAAAATTACTGTATGTATGGACTGTAGGTCGATGTATTCAAGCAACCCCGCAAATCCTTCAATGCCAGGTGCAACTGCTCGACCACTCCTTGTGTGTGGCAATAACTTTTTACAAAAAATTGGGTGTGGTGAAACCAAACCAATCAGAACATGCTGTTCACTGATTGGCTATCCTATCATCTTTCTATCCTGGCAACTGATTGGCTCAGCCTCATGCAAGTTTGTTTCTCTCATACAGGCTTCTACATTGCTACACATTGGAAACATCTTTGCTCTTGTAAGTGTTTGCTTTTTCTGAGAACTTTTATCTAAGCCCCATGATAGCTCCTAAATGTGCTGCTGCTTCTAAGCCTTCTGACGATGACACCAAGCACCGGAGGAAGATGCTTACCATCCAGGAGAAGGTGAAACTCTTAGATATAATCAAAAATGGCTAAAAATTATGGAGCTTGCCTGCCATTACGACTTAAATGAGACTACCGTTTGCTCTATCTGTAAAGATGAATTAAACATCCATGCAACGGCTACAGTCTCTTTCAACAAGGAAAGAAAGCACGTTGTGACAAGTTGTAATAAGTTCTTAGTGAAAAATGAAGTCTGCCCTAGCCATTTGGATCAGCGACAGCTGCAAGAAAAACATTCCGTTGGATTCGCTGTTCATCCAGGAGAAGGCGAGGCAGCTCTATCAGCACTTTACTGCACATGAATCTCAACCAGGACCGTTTTCTTCAATGTTCATGGATTTCACAGTGAGCAAGGGTTGGTTTGAGAAGTTCCAGAAGAGGTATCATCTGAAGAGCATCATTCTCAATGGAGAAGCTGCCTCTGTTGACCAGCCTGCAGCAGAGGACTACGTGAACAACACATTCTAGAAGATCCTTGAGGAGGGTATCATCCAGAACAGGTGTCCTTAACTGAAGAGGATCTGGTGGAGATGAATAAGTCTGTGGGTGAGGAGGAGGAAGAGCGGCGAGAGGTTCCTGGGGGTCAGAAGAGGAAGTTGGCCTTACACTTGAGCGTCTGTCACAAGTTGTGAGAACTAATAAGGTAGTACAGGGCATGATTGGTGAATGGGACCCACAAATTATGAATGCATTGCGGTTCCGGAATGCACATGATAGAGTAATTGAACCCTACAAAAGCCTCCTCACGCACATGAAAAGAGAGTGCACCCGGACTCCTACTGCCTACTCCTAGTATTCCTTCAGGGGAAAAAGATGACAACACACCTGCACCACCTGAAGACTCTCTTACAGAGGTTGTGCCTTCTTTGCTGTGCAGTACATCTCTTCATCTTTATTGCTTCACCATAAAACAAGTTGCCCTATTTTCATAGGTTAGTGGTTGTGTGTAAGAATTTTGTGTGTGTGTGTGTGTGTAATTAAATGTACAATAATAATAGTAATATATTTGTGACATCTAATGTGTCTTATTTTCTCTTATTTTGTCTAATATATTGGGTAATACGAGTATAATGGTGACTAAAGGGTGTTATTTCATATCTAGAGAGCTCTAATAATGTTAAAAATGTATTTAGAAGGTTGTAAACAGGTTTTCTATGCTCTAACTGTGAAAATATTTGATGTATTAATCAAGAATCCTGCTTCGTGGAAATTCATTTATCACGGTAGAGTCTGGTACTAATTAACTGCAATAAATGAGGGCCGACTGTATTATATATGATTTAGATTTATTTTTTTCTTAGACTACTGTTTGATTTTATCATTTTTAAATTTGTTAAGAGCACAACTTCCAAAGCAATTCATTTCAGTGCAATTCCACTAAACCCTAACTACATACAGTGATCTTCCCATATCATGTCCCCAAGCAGTGCTGCTGTGGGTTATTGTGAAGAAATGTTTAAATCTCTCTCTCTGGTGCTCACTTCAGTAGCACATATACTAAAATTGGAATGATATAGAGAACATTAGCATGGCTCCTGCACAAGAATGACATGCAAATTCGTGAGGTGCTTCATTTAAAAATAAATACATAAATAAATAAATAAATAAATAAATAAATCTGCCTATGGTATATTTATACCCTGTTTCTCTTCCTTTTTCTTTTCTTTTTTTTCCATCTGAGTGTTGCCAGAGATAGAAGAATAAGGGACCATATATATGGAACATTTGAGGGTCTTGGAAATATTTCTGTCTCTCATATAGCATTCCTCTGGTTTTCCTAGCAGTTTTTATTCACATAGCAATATCACACCCATTAACAAACTGATTACCACGAAACAGATTTTTCTTTGAAAAATAAGAAAACTGAGGTTCAGAAACTCAAGTGGCTTAAGACCATTCAGTTATTAAATGTTGAAGCTGGGATTAAAGTTCCAAACCCCAAGTGGGTTTTTAAATCTTAATATAGAGAAATTTTTAAAATACATATATTCTTAAAAAAGAGATTATCTATTTTCTAAATTTCCTTCTGAAATGAAAAATAACAGATATGGTAACTACATATGAGGTTTATATTGCAGGATCTCAAATAACATTGTAACATTGTTTTGTTCAATATCATTTTGTTATAACATTGATGAGATGCCATAGGAACTTGACTCTTGTTTATATCAAGGAGCCTATGGTAAAATAGGTTTCATTGTATGTCATTTCACTTAAAGTCACAGTACATATTGACAATATTAAATGGAGACTTACTATATATTAAATATTATTATAAAATAATTGGGCTTCTGTATTTCTGTAAAATTTCATACTAGCTTATCATGCTGCAGCCTTGGTTCATGTTAAGGATGTTAAATATGAACCAGGAACTTAAGCATAAATGTGTTACTAGTTCATACATAAAGGTACAGCACCCCTACCCTATTGCACTCTTTCTAATATTAATGTCAATATCAAGACTAAGGCATTTAGATTGCTACTACATTGAGGCCTCTTCTTTGGTGACTGAGATGAGGTTTTCCTTTTCTATGCTTTATTCTGGATATGATGTCCCCAGTAAGGGGTGTGCAGGAGACAGCTGATTAATGTTTCTTGCTCATATCAATGTTTCTATCTCTCTTTTCCTTCCTCTCTCTCTAAAAAATCAGTAAAAATATATTTAAAAATTTATTTTTCTCTAAAAATTAATAAAAACATATAACATTTTATCTTTATTGTTGAAAGTATTACAGATATCCTCCACTGAACCCCGCCACCCCATTCCTGGCCCCCTCCAGGCCTTCATTGACTATTGTCTGTGTCCCTTGGTTATGCATATAAATTATCTGGCTAATCTCTTCCTGCCCACCTTCCCCAGTTCCCTCTGAGATTTGCCAGTCTGTTTCTTACTTCCATCTCTCTGGATCTGTTTTGACCATCAGCTTAGTTTGTTCATTAAATTCCGTAAATAAATGAGATCATGTGATACTTGCCTTTCTCTGACTGACACATTTCACTTAGCATAATACTCTCCACGTCCCTCCATGGTGTTTCAAAGGGTAAATGACCCTTCTTTTTTATGGCTGTGTAGTATTCCATTATATAAATATACTACAGCTTTTTCATTCATTCATCTACTAATGAGCAGATGAATGGACTGTTTCCAGATCTTAACTATTATAAATAGTGCTGCTGTAAATATAGGGTGCATATATTATTTCTGATTGGTGTTTCAGGCTTCTTAGGATATATTCATAGAAGTGGAATCACTGGGTCAAATGCCAGTTCCATTTTTAATTTTTTGAAGAAACTCCATATTTTTTTCCATAGTGGCTGCACCAGTCTGCATTTCAATCAGCACTGTTCTAGGGGTTCCTCTTTCTTCATATTCTCACCAGCATTTGTCAATTGTTGACTTGTTGATGGCAGCCATTCTGGCAGTTGTGAGGTTACTGTAATTTGTGTCTCTCTGATCATTAGTGACTCTGAGCAAGAATCTTGTTAAGATCTTGACTTTTTTTTCTATAGTTTTTCTAAAATGCTTTTTGATCCATTCTCCCACCATTTTGTCCACTCAAAGAAGAAATGTAGGCCAGCAGTGTGGCGCAGTGTTTGAGCATCGACCCATGCACTAAGAGATTCACAGTCAGGGCATATGTCCAGGTTGTGAGCCAAATCCCCAGTGAGGGGCAAGCAGGAAGCAGCCAGTTGATGTCCTCTCTCATTGATGTTTCTATCTCTCTCTCTCCCTTTCTCTCTCTCTAAAGTCAATAAAAATATTTAAAAAAGAAGAAATATAATTCAGATTTGAATAGTTATATTTAATATGTTTGAGAATCTGAGACTTATTTATCATTAATAAATTTCATAGCAAGATGGAAGCTAGCCATGCACTGGAGGAAAGTGTACTGGACTATAAATCAGAAGACATATTTTGGCCTTGGTCTGCTTTGAAAAAGTGTCTCAATATCTCTTCCTGACATGATATTGTACATAGAAAACCCTAGTGCCTCAACCAAAAAGCTACTAGATCTAATAAATTAATTCAGCAATGTAGTAGGATACAAAATTAATATTTAGAAATTGGTAGAATTTTTAAAAAAATCCTCACCCAAGCTCAGCTGGTGTGGCTCAGTGGTTGAGCGTCAATGCACCAGTTTTATCCCCAGTCAGAGCACATGCCCAGGTTGTGGGACAAATCCCCAGTGGAGGGCATGTAGGAGGTGGCCAATCAATGTTCTCTCTCATTGATGTTTCTATCTCTCTCTCCCTCTCCCTTCCTCTCTCTTTAAAATCAATATAAAAATTTAAATTCTCACCCAAGAATATTTTTTTGTTCATCTTTAGATAGAGTGGGAGGAGAGAGAGAGAGAGAGAGAGAGAAAGAGAGAGAGAGAGAGACTGATGGAAAAGAGATACATGGACTGGTTGCCTCTCGCACAACTCTGACAAGGGCCAGGGACCAAAGTGCAACCAAGGTATGTACCCTTGACTGGATCAAAGCTGTGACTCTTTGGACTGTGGGCTGATGCTCTAAATGCTGAGCCAAAATGGCCATGGCAGTATAAAGTAATTGGTAGCATTTTTATAAACCGATAATGAACTATCAGAAACAGAAATTTAAAAAAAAATTCATTGATGATTGTAAAAAAAAAAAATAAGTTATTTATGAATAAATTTAACCAAGGAGGTAAAGTAAATGTACTTGGAAATAAAAATAAAATAAATATAAATATAAGGGAGTAAAAAAAGAAATGGAGGAAGATATAAACAATTCAAAGCACATACCATGTTCATGGACTGGAAGAATTAACATCTTTAAAATGTCCATATTATGCAAGGCAATCTATAGATTCCACACAATTCCTGTTAAAATACCAATGGGAAATTTCACATATCTGGAACAAATATTTCAAAAATTTATATAGAACCACAAAAGACCATGAACAGTCACAGCAATCTTGACAAAGAAGAACACAGTTGGAGGGATCATAATACCTGATATGAAACTAAACTACAAGGCCATTGTAATCAAAACAGCCTGGTACTGGCATAAAAACAGACAAATAGATCGATAGAACAGAACAGAAATCACAGAAATAAACCCATACCTTTATGTCAATTAATATTTGACAAAAATGTAAGAGCAAATGATAAAGTAATGGCAGTGTCTTAAATAAATGATTTTGGAAAATTGGACAGCTACATGCAAAAAAATTAAACTAGACCATCATCTTATACCATGCACAAGAATAAACTCAAAATGGATAAAAGACTTAAATGTAAGCCACAAAACCATAAAATTCTTAGAAGAAAATATAGGCAGTAAAATCTCAGACACCTCTCATAGCAATTTTTTGGCTAATACATCTCCTTGGGCAAGAGAAACAAAGAAAAAAATTTTAAAAAATGTGACTACGTCAAACTAAAAAGTTTTTGCACAGCAAAAGGAACCAGCATCAAAATTAAAAGTGAATCCACTGAATGGGAGAAAATATTCTCTAATGTGACATCTGATAAAGAATTAATTTGCAAATATGTAAAGAACTTATAAACTAAGCATCAAGAGGGAAAACAATTCAATTAAAAAATGAGCAGAGAAACTGAATTGACTGTTCTCCAAAGAGCACATACAGAGGCCAATAGACATATGTAAAAAAAAAAAAAAAAAAAACTGCTCAAGGTCACTAATGATCAGAGAAGTGCAAATGAAAACTACAATAGGATATCATCCCACACCTGTCACAATGGCTATCTTTAATAAATCAACAAACAAGTGCTGGCTAAGATATGAACAAAAGGGAATTCTCATACAGTGTTTTTGGGAATGCAGACTAGTGCAGCCAGTGTGAAAAACAGTATGGAATTTCCTCAAAAAATTAAAAATGAAACAGCTTTTGACCCAGCAATCTCACTTCTGGGAAAGTATATGAAGAAACACAAAACTTGATTTTGAAATAACATGTGCACCCCCTAAGTTCATAGCAGCATTTTTCACAATAGCCAAGATCTGGAAACAGCCCAAATGCCCATCAGTAGATGAATAGATAAAAAAGCTGTGGTACATTTACACAATGGAATACTACACAGCCATAAAATAGAAGGAAAGCTTACTGTTTGTGACAGAATTGATGGTCCTAGAGATTATTATGCTAAATAAAATAAGCCAGTAAGAGAAAGATAAATACCATAGGATCTCATATGTGTAATTTTATGAACTAAATAATCTGATGAACAAAATACAAACAGGCCCTGGCCGGTGTGGCCCAGGAATTGGAGCTTAGCTTTGCACATGGATTTAATTCCCAGTCAAGGCATACACCTGGGTTGCAGTTTTGATCCCTGGCCCATTGGGGCATGTGCAGAAGATAACCAATCGATGTCTCTCTCTCTCTTTCACATCAATGTTTTTCTCTCTCTTTCTCTCTCTATCTCATTCTCTCTCTCCCTCCCCTTCCTCCCTTCTACACTTTCTCTAAAATAAAAAAAATATATATCAATATAAAAAATATCCTTGAGTGAGGAATAAGAAAAACAAAACAAAACAAAAAAACCATAGGCATGGATATGAAACAGTCTGACAGCTGCCAGAGTGGAG